TCCTCAACTGTAAATTAACTGTAAAGAACATTTCTGCTAAAATGTACAGTTTAGCTCATTTTTCTATTTTCTTTGTCTTAAGGCTTAAATACAAGCAACTTGGTGATATCCGGAGTCTTCAATCAGGTATGTATATTCAAAGCACAGACTTTTAATAGACATTTCTTGTGCACAATCACTGTAAAGAGAAATCCGATGTGATGCAGATAAGGGAAGTTTATCTAAAACCTGTTCACTGTTTCATCATTCTATGCTTTGTATGTCAAACTTGCTGATTCGACACCGTTTAGTTTTACAATGGCTTGGCAATGCAAACTTTGTCCTGCTGTGTGTGACAAAAGGGCACAGTTGCTTGAACACTGTCGTTTGCATCACAGCAATTTATCCTCAATCAACCCATTGCCTTGTCTCTTTGATGACTGTATCTGCACATTTCAGTCAATAAATGCATTCAAAATTCATTTAACAAGGTTGCATAATAATACAGTTGTACCCAGTGAAAACGAGGTGGGATGTTTGTCATTCACATGTCCTTTGTGGATTCAAGCAACCATTTAATGATAAGAGTCTCCTCAGTCATTTAAGGGCACATTTAAAACACCATGAAATGGTGGACTGTCCTTTCAAAAACTGTCAAGACCGCACTAATGTCTACTCCTCCTTTAATGCCCACAAAAGTAGGACTCATCCAGACAGTGATGTTTCAAATTATAAGAATGAGATTGTCTGTACAGAAACTGAAAGTCAACCAATGCAGAGTCAGGATGAATCTGATAGGGATAGCCCTTTACCACACTCTCCTGAGCTGGATACTCCTGAGTGTGAGCCCTCTGGATCCAGAGATGACACTGATGACTTGGAAGGGCACTTCAAAAATAATTTGGCTTCTTTCTTCTTGAAAATGAACAGTGTTCTTCATGTGTCAGAGACAGCTACACAGGACATCATTGAAAATTTGGCACAAATATTCACTTTGTCCAAACCTGTTGTGAGAGAAGCTGTTGTCAATAGTTTACAAGAGCATGATCTGTCTGTCAGTGGGGCCCTTCTTCATGACCTAGAGGAGGCTATCATGAAAACTAATGTTTTTGTCAATGCTACTTCAGAAGGTGCGGAACTGTCCACTGCTAAGCGGAGGGAAACATTTGTGAGGAGTAACTATCCTTTGGTAATGCCAGTGCAATACACTTTTGATTCCAGTGAACACACAGCAGTGTATGTTCCCATTCTTCAGATGATTCAAACAATGTTTAAAACTACTGATCTTCTTGAAAAAATTCACGAGGCAAAACCGTCTCCACCAGGAATTTACATGTCTCATGAAGATGGAACATATTTCAAAGAAAATCAGTTATTGTCTGAAACAGGGGAGCTGAAACTGTCCCTGATTTTGTTGCTGTACTGCAGACCAGAAACAGTGCACTGACGTTTCTGAAGGGGAGTTTAGCATGAGAACAAGGGCCTCCCATGATCTTCATGTGCAGAATGTTGTGGAAGAAGACAAAGCAAATCACTTAGGTGTTAAAGGTCAGTGTGCTCTCAGCATGGCATTGCAGCATTTTCATCCCATCACTGGTTTTCCACCTGATATTCTTCACGACCTCTTTGAGGGTGTCGTGCCAGTTGAGATGGCCTTGTGCATCCGTGAGATGATTTGCCTGAAGTATTTCACACTTGAATATCTAAACACAAGAATTCACACATTTCCAGATCAGCACACTGATAGGCTTGATAAACCGCAACAAATTCCAAAGAATTTTGCTGCCAAACGGGCATGAAAATTCCACTTTGCTTAGGTTATTACCACTACTGGTAGGAAGTAAAGTCCCTGAAGGAGATGAAACATGGGCCATATTGTTGGACCTCAAAGAAATAGTGCAGCTGGTGTTGTCTCCATCTTTCACAGAGGAGTCTTTACAGTACATGCAGACTAAAATCAGTGATCATCGACAGGGACTTCAAGCAGTGTTTCCAGACTTTAAGCTCAGACCCAAGCATCATTATGTTGAGCACTACCCAGAAATGACAAGGCGCTTTGGGCCTCTTGTTCACCTTTGGACAATGAGGTTCGAGGGAAAACATCGCTTTTTTAAAAGAGTGATACAGGACACACACAATTTCAAGACTGTCTTGAGAACTCTTGCCACTAGGCATCAGCACATGATGGCGTATCACTGAAGTGCACATTATTTTTCAAACCCCACACACAATCTTCGAGTGTCACCTCTGTCCACGTTGCCACACTGCCTCAAGTGGCAAAAGACTTTATAAGAACAAAGACAGACAGCCAAACATATACAGTACAACACAGGTGTCCATTGATGGCACAGAGTATGCTAATGGTATGTATGTTTCTGCAGGCCAGGCTGGAGACTGACCAAACACTGCTTGTGAATAACTCTGTTTCTTTTCTTTGCAGAAACTACGAGAGCTGGTACAGAGAGCATTTGAGGTGATTTGAGCTGACATCCTCAGACACCTGCTCTGTCATCGAGCTGTCAGAACTAAATGACACAGTAAGTTTGTCTGCATACAACATAGATGGACACTTAATACTGACACAAAAAAGATTTATTTTGATCAGAGAAATCCAGGTGTAAAATGTTATCAGAAGTGAAGAACCATATGGCCTCATGGAACAGTGTGTAGCAAAGTAAGACAGGTAAACTAAAATTTGATATGCCAGTTACGTTTACTAACATTACAAGCCTAGAAAGACTTACCTGCTACAACTGTAATTTTTTCAAACCCCAGCTTTTAGGTGAATAATATCTGTCTATAACTGTTTCACACAAATACCTATTGTGTATGCATTGTTGAATGCTATTAGTTAATCTGTTCTCTCCCTCTCTTTGTTTTAATAGGTAATCTTCACATACATACTTCCATGGACATTGTCAGGAAGATGACTTTGGCTTCATGTCCAGAATCTGTGACTGAGCTTGAAAAAATGACAAAAGAAAAGTTTAAGATAGACTTTGATTTTTGCTAATCATATGAAGATCCAGACTTTGACGGGCAGTTATGTTCCCTTATAGACATTGAAGAGCTTCCACAGAAGGCAGTACTTAAACTTGTAAGATCTCAGAGTGATGCCAGTTCAATTGCATCTGATGACACAATAATATTGCCTCATGCAATGACTCCAGAAAGGACCCAGAGATGGCCGGATGTTTGTCCAGTGCCAGCTTTTTCTTATGAAGTAGAACTCATACTTGTTGAGGGAAATTTGAATCATGAGAGAACAGGGAAAACCCTGAAGTTATCAAGGGGACAGAAGCATGACATTCTTGAAACCCTTGCATCCAAAATGCATAGCTTTAAAGCATATCCAGTGATAAAGACATTTCAGTGGTTGCAGAAGCGCTTGTCACCACCCATCCTTGTCTTAAAGAACCAGGAACGCAGACAGGATGGTATGGTTGGAAAAATAGTCTGAAGTTTAAGATGGGTAACTTCTGCACTAAGTTGAGTCGGGCAGGATATAGTGAGGTAGCTGTAAATTCTGGAAAGAGAAGCAGAAACAACCCTGACAAACAATCTCCCCACACTGACATAAAGAGACCAAAAAGGGCAGAAGTGAATTTTCTCCCCAACTTTCCAAAAGGAGAAGATGGTTCAAGCCTTGAGCGACAGAGACTCCAGATTGTAGATGAAGTTATAAGGACTGACAAAAACCTCCCTCTGATTGCAAAGTTGATGCAGACCACCTTTTCCCTGCGACGCAAAGAGGTCATCAATGATGACTTGCCTGTTGGAGAGATCCTGGAGCGCTGGCCTGCCCTAAAGATGGAGTCACAGGTGAGTTTTTTTTTCTTTGTATGTGATAGGGAAGTGTAGGGATCTCAACATCAGTCACTTAGTCTGACAAGCATTTAACAAATGTAAAGTTTTGACATTTATAATGCGACAGTACATAATGTTTAAACACGTTTTGTAATGTAATGTTTTACAACTTCATTTTCCTTTTTCTTTTGAGATACAAATGCACTTCAATGTCACATTTTTATTTTACAGATTTGTGCAGAGTTTCACAGAATCACAAACATCAACCTGAAGAACCACTTCTATTCTGAGTTAGACAGACATGTCCCTCGTCTTCAGAGTTTGTTCAGGAAGAAAGCTGCGCGCACAGGGAAGGTGTCGAAGTCCTGGATCAGCTCTTCAACACTTATGACCGCCAGGTGAGTTGATTATCCTTCTTCATGCATGATAATAATAGAACCCTGTTGGAACTCCCTATCTTCAGATTACATTAGGGCCAAATGATGATGCCATCGTTGATAGCTGACAGTCTTCTATCGTGAAAGACTGTTTGGAAAAAACACGACCAACAATAGAAACAATAAATGTCATCAAGTGTTCCGCTTTTGATATTGTCATTTGACAGTTTGGTAGGCATTACCTAATCGTATTCAAATACATCATATAGGGCTATTTCTTGTGATAAATTCTGTTCCTTCCCTGTTTGGCATTTCAAATTAAGATGATGTGTTTTCTCATACTTAAGGAACAAGTTGACGTCAATGTCCTCCGTGCTGCCGTCCTCCGTGCTCTCCCTACATATCTGCATGAGGATGACTCCGGATTTCTGAAGCTGTGGGATGTAAGTCAGCATATTATTAAGACTTGTAATGAATCTGTTGAACATGTTATATATTTCATCTGTTTTATTCAGATGCTGTCATTTTGGTGTATGATTGCCATGATATTAAAAAGTGAAAAAGATTAATATAGTAATAATTGTCCTGCAACATCTACAGTAGGCTTAATCTTACCTGTGAGGAATTAGTAATTAAACTTTGCATTTACTGGTCAAACCTCAATTCATGCTGCAGTTTTTAAAATTCCATTTAAAACCTGCAGAGCTGGAATAGTATGCTAAACAATATCAACATCTATAGTGAGAATAAATGCAATATAGTGATTGTTTAAAAAAGCTTGTCAGTTGAGTCATTGTCTTTCAGTACCATTTAGCTTTGATTGTTTTGAGGCCAAAAAAACAAAAAAGGGGATAATTACTAATTTAAAGTGGTGAATTAAGAAATCCCTGAATAGCAATAGGGTAGTGTACTTTCCATATTTTTCCGCTGATCAAGAAACATAAACAGCTTTTGGTACATTGTCATTCTATGGGAAACACTGAAGCTTAGGCAGTTGATTTGTAACATTTCTCTGTCCTTGTCTTTAGCAGGCCCTGTCAGATGAACTGCAAATCGACAACATACCAGTTGGGCTCCTCCTGATCAGTGCCACTTCAACAGATGCTGCGGTATTCTGCCCGAGAAGGTTGCCGTTGTGCTTGAGGGTAACACAGTTGAAAAAATGCCCGTTGAACTCAAAGTTGTAATGGGTTTCTGTTGGAAATGCCTGGGTTTTTCTAGTGTTGATGTACAGAACTATAGGGTAAACCTTTTGTCATTTTGCTGAAGTTGGCATTTCTTTAGTATATCTGTGTATTAAGTTGTCAACTATTCTTAAAAGTTACTGTGTTTCTGAACTATTTTACAATAGTTGTTGCTGTGTCTTTCTGATACAAAATTGGACTTTCTCTGGTTGAAGTTTGATATTTGTTTATTTTGCTCCTGTGTTGTGTCATGAGGACAGGTCTGGAGATACAATGTTTACTCAGATATATGTCATTTGAATGTTTTGTCATGCTGCTGTTTTGAAAGCCTATGAGTTGGTTCCTGAGGCATATAGGCAAAGATTTAGAAGCTGGAGGAAAGGTGATGTACAGACTCACGTAGAGTTTGCACGGGATATTTCAGCTCACTTTGCACGCTGGTGTCCTGCCTCGGAGGTAGATCATTATGATGATTTGTGTAACCTTATGGTATTGGAACAATTTAAGGACTCTGTTCCACACCACATTGCTGTACACATCAATGAGCGTAAGGTTAAGACAGCTTCAGCAGTGCAGTGTTGGCAGATGAGTATGTGTTGACTCATGCTGGTGGCTCAGAATGGCGCTGGGGCGTAAAGGACAATGTGAAGTTTAGTCCAGGAAAGTTTGTTGGGGCTACTCAGGGTTCTCAGGCCAGTTTCAGAAGTGTACCAGGTACGGATGGTAGATTTGATCCAGGTAAACTGTGCCATTCATGTAAAAATAAGGGTCATTGGAAAGGGGAGTGTCCAATTTCCATGTCGGAACAAAAGTCAACCGATCCAAGTGTGTATATGAAATCTGCTGGTCTGGTGGCTTCACTGTCATCAGTGCAGAGTCTAATGGTGCCAGGAACATCTCCTGAACTGCCATCAAAGGGGGTTGATGAAATGTATGCCCCTTTCATGTCACATGGGTTTGTGTCTCTGAATGATGGTGAGATGAAACCTGTAAGTATTTTGAGGGATTCAGGGGCGTCCCAGAGTTTCATTTTGGAACGTGTGTTGCCGTTTTCTTCTGCTACAGACACTAGGGAGACGACTCCCGTTCGGGGAATTTCTTTGGTTCCTTTGTTTGTGTCATTGCATCGTCTTAGCCTGTGTTCAGATCTGGTAAAAGGGGAAGTGGTCATGGGGGTACGGAACTCATTGCCATTGGAGGGTGTGGATGTTATATTGGGTAATGACTTGGCGGGGGCAAGAGTGTGGAAAGATGATCCACCTTCTGTTGGGGTAACAGCATCACCCGAGTGCTCTCAAGGTCCGGATGAGTGTGCTAAACAACATCCAATGATTTTTCCTGTTTGTGCTGTGACTCGGACAATCAACTTCAAAGAGTTGGGGAGGTTTTTGGATATGGTGGGGTATTATTGGGGGTTTTGCCCAAATTTTGCGACTGTGGTGGCCCCATTGACAGACCTTTTGAGTAAGAGGACGGTTTTTGTGTGGTCTCCTAAATTTGAGGATGCTTTTGTTACGGTGAAATCCTTGCTCTGTTGTTCTCCTATGCTTGCAGCGCCAAACTTTGAGAAGCCCTTTAAACTTCAGGTGGACGCAAGTGGAGTTGGTGCAGGAGCTGTACTGTTGCAAGAAGGGAAGGGGGCTATTGATCATCCAGTCTGCTTCTTCTCCCGTAAGTTCAAACGTCATCAGTTCAATTATTCAGTTGTGGAGAAGGAGACGTTGGCACTTACTTGGGCTCTAAAATTTTTTGAAGTGTATGTAACTTTAGGGTCTGCACCAGTTACTGTATTCACTGACCAAAACCATCTGACCTTTCTGTCCAGCATGCAAAACAGCAATCAAAGGTTGAGGCGCTGGTTGTTGTTTTTACAGCCCTACAACTTTAATATCTGTCACCTCAAGCGTAGGGATAATGTAATGGCAGATGCTCTTTCTCGGGAAGTAGTTTAATGTGTACGTACACCCAAGTGTACGTTCTTTATGGGGGGAGGTGTGACGGCCCTGGCCATGGTGTTTGGCCTGGTACTGCTTGTGTTTTGTATTTCAGGGTTTGGCGTCATCTGGTGGTTGGCGGTGGCATGCCTGCTGGTCGTGGGGAGACTCGCCAGCTGGTCGCGGGGAGACTCGCCCACCTGCCTGCTGATTGCGGATGGGCTTCACCTGGGTGGAAGGGCATACAAACCGGGCTGCCAGAGCTTTCAGGGGGTTCCTCGGGACAGATTGGACTTATCTCCCTCTGCTCTTGCATTTTTTTGGTGGTTCTGAAATAAACTAAAACCTAAGCAAGTTGACTGTGTGGACCTCCATTTTGAATGTTAGGGCCTACACGAGCTGGCCGTAACACTAGGAGGCTGCCACAAAGAGCTTGGTAACGCTGATCATTAGGAGGCTGCCACAAGAAGCTTGGAAAAGTTGATCAAACTGCAAAAGATGACAACACATTAAGTTGTGAGTGCAAGTACCAGAATACCCAGAAATGCAGACAAGTCGAAATTGAATTAGAGCTCTGACCAATGAAAAGAGATAAAATTTGAACATTTAGAATGGACTAGCAATTATTTTACAAACAAATAAGCTTCAATAACTAAGATCAAGTCATGAAATTATTTTAAATTCTGCCATTTTATTAAAATATCAAACACACAGGAACAACATTAACCTTCCTGCATGTATTCACTGACAATCTGTAACTAGAATGTACATTTACTGCTTAACCGACAGCTTTACTGAAGGAGAGTTAAATATGAATGTCACAGCAAAGGGTCTGAATACTTATGACCATGTGATATTTCAGTTTTTCTTTTTAATAAATTTGCAAAAATTTCTACATTTCTGTTTTGTTCTGTCAAGATGGGGTGCTGAGTGCATTAATGAGAAATAAAATGAACTTTTTTGATTTTAGCAAATGGCTGCAATGAAACAAAGAGTGAAAAATGTAAAGGGGTATGAATACTTTCTGTACCCACTGTATATTGGTAAGTATTCATTTTTTTGAGCTGTAGTACTTTAGACTGTACCGCTGGTGTATTCAGTGCTGTTTACCAAAATTCGTGCAATGTTGATGAGGGCGAACTTTACTTTGAAAGTCTGAGTTTGCAGACTAGCTTGGTAACACTTAACATGGCCACTAGCTAGCATAATAGTCCAGACATGAACATAGCAGTCGCAAAACTGCAATTGAGAAAGGCAAAAGAATTGTGAGGCGAATGAACTTGCCCTCACTTATTATTTTACTTAAGATAGGTGTGAGGAGCGTGAGCGGGGAAGATTGTGGCCTGTTGTCTGCCCGGACACCGCGGTGTCTCTCTGCGTTCATACCGACCAGCGGATTACTTTCCCCTGAGAGCTGGACGGTGAACCAAGAATATTTATCTAACTATTTGTTGTGCGTGTTTAAACCTGTTCAATAGCAGTGTTTCCCTTACCAAAGACCGAACTTCAACCTGCAGACGGTTTCCCACTGATATGGTCCACTCCAGCCAGAAGACGTTATGCTAATGAGTTATGCCCGCGAAGATGGTATCGCACATGCGCAAAGGGCGGCTCCACATTCCAACTCATTTATTTTGTGTCATCAAATCCATCCCATAGGGTAAATTGTTATACATTTTATGTTTCACTGATTAAATATATATGTGTATATTATCAAACTAGATATTTTTAAATAAATCCAACAATACTTAAGTGTGTCACATCTAAGAAGGGCTTGAATCAGTTTTATGAGTGTTGTTAGTTTGGTTATTGGTTTTTGTTTTTGCTGTTATTTCTATGTGCAAATATTTGTAGGTTTGTTTTTTTGTCCACTTTATCACCAATAAAAAAATGTTATGTAAAAAAAATCTTATTACCCATAATTCTCTGCTTGTAAAGAGTGTGTATTGTTTAAGTGCGTTTACAATGAGGTTTATAATCCAAAACAAATATGAGGGCTGATTGATTTTTAAGGTCTTTATCATGTCTGAGCTGCTTCAGTGAAGTGTGTCAGTCTCTGCAGAAACTTCCAGCTGCAGCAGTCAGTTCAGTTTCTGTTCAGTCTGACTGAGGGAGGTTTTTGTACGACGCTTTTTCACTGTGTGAACACATCCTGACTGTTGATATAGTGATAACTCTGACAGTAGTAAACTGCTGCATCTTCAGTCTGGACTCCACTGATGGTCAGAGTGAAGCAGAGTTTGATCCACTGCCTGAAAAACGATCTGGAATCCCTGATGCTCGAGTGCTAGCAACGTAAATGAGGAGTTTAGGAGTTCCTCCATCTTTCTGTTGGTACCAGGCTAAGAAGTGGTATGGGCTGCTATAAAAACATTCCTGACTGGTTCTACATGAGATGGAGACGGAGGCTCCAGAGCAGAGGTCACTGCTGCAGGCTGAGTCACTGTGACCTGTCCTCTGGACTCTGAGGATACAGAGACAAAAACAGAAAGCAGCATCAGGGTTTAGTGGGCTTCATTTCAGAGGGACGGATGTTCATAGAGGAGAGGAGTTTGATTCTCTGGACTTTACCTGTGAAGCAGCAGCAGAGGAGGAGAGTCCAGATGAGGACGCACATCAAAGTCATGTTTTTGATGATGAGGACGAGGATTTCTGTTGTGATGAAGGACAGCTGTCAGTCATCCAGTGTTCAACTGTCAGGACTATAAAGTCTCCCAGAGCACTGGAGCATGTGCTGCTGATGCAAAGTGGCTCTCTATGGAAATGTTCTGACTGACTCCAACAGGGATCACTCTCATTACTCTGTTATCAATCAATCAATATTATACAATTCATTAGAAAACTTTCAAAACAACTTTAATACGATTTCATGTTCATGCTTCTAGAAACATTTATCCTGATATAAATCAGGAGTTGTAATTAATAATATTCTTGAGAAAATGATTTAAAAATAATTCAAAGATTTAAATATCTCAAAGAAAGACATTCTTTAAATCTGTTATAATC